TATGTCTCACCCAGCCATTTCCCCCGCTTCTCAGGAATAACCCTTATCTAGAAGATAATACCTATCATTCCTGTAGTTATTTTTTCTTTCCCGTGTATATTTGTGTGTATATATAAATTTTTATGCCAGCAGTATCATTGTATAAATTCTTTTGCCATGTAACTCAACATTAGATTCTTGAAAAATGAAGATTCATTGTAATTGTTGTATAGTTTTTATTGTTTATTCACACATCCACTATTTACCATTTCTCTACCAAAGAGCAGTTAGGTTGTTTTCCACCTTTTTGCTATTTAAAAACCTGCAGGCCGGGCACTGTGGCTCATACCTGTAATCCCAACACTTTGGGAGGCTGAGGCAGGTGGATCACTTGAAGTCAGGAATTGAGACCAGCTTGGCCAACATGGTGAAACTATTTCTGCTAAAAAATACAAAAATTAACCAGGCATGGTGGTGCAGGCCTGTAGTCCCAGCTACCCGGGAGGCTGAGGCAACAGAATCGCTTGAACCCGGGAGGGGGAGGTTGCAGTGAGCCAAGATCGTGCCACTGCACTCCAGCCTGGGCAACAGAGTGAGACTTCCTCTCAAAAAAATTAATTAATTTAATTTAATTAAAACCTTGCTGCAATAATCACCTTTGAACATGTCTTCTAGGGTTCATGGTCTTAGAGTTTTTTCTTTAAACAAAATTTAGATAGAAAACTGAAAATGGGCCGGGCACAGTGGCTCACACCTATAATCCCAGCACTTTGGGAGGCTGAGGCAGGCAGAGCACTTGAGGTCAGGAGTTCGATACCAGCCTGGCCAACATGGTGAAACCCTGTCTTTAATAAAAATACAAAAATATTAGCCAGGTGTGGTAGTGTGCACCTGTAATCCCAGCAATTTGGGAGGCTGAGGCAGAATTGCTTGAACTTGGGAGGCAGAGGTTGCAGTAAGCTGAGATTGCACCACTACATTTCAGCCTGGGTGACAGAGCAAGACTTTGTCTCAAAAAAACAAAGGAAGAAAAAAGATCCAGAAAACTAAAAATGAAATCACTGCGTTTGTAGGGTCTGCAATTCTTCTACTTTACTAGGCAATACTGAATTGCACTATATTCTCATTAACAACTCATATAAGTTTGTATTTTACTACATCCATGTCAACAAGATGTTATTAGACTTTGAAACTAGACAATCTTTTGTTTATGAAATGGTATCCCCAGGTGCCATGGCTCACGCCTGTAATTCCAACACTTTAGGAGGTGGAGGAAGGCGGATCACTTGAGGTCGGGAGTTTTGAGCCTGACCAAAATGGAGAAACCCTGTCTCTACTAAAAATACAAAAAAAATTGGTTGGGCATTGTGGCGCATGCCTGTAATCCTAGCTACTTGGGCGGCTGAGGCAGGAGAATCGCTTGAACCTGGGAGGCGGAGGTTGCGATGAGCCAAGGTTGCATCGTCGCATCCCAGCCTGGGCAACAAAAGCTAAACTTTGTCTGAAAAAAAAAAAAAAAGAAATGGTATCACGATTTAATTTGCATTTCACTGATTACCAGAGAGATTGAAATAACTTCACATTTTTATGTTCATTTGTATTTTCCTCTTTGTAGCCTTTTGTTTTTATTTTTTCTAGTAATAAAGGCATGATATGTCTTTATATATTCTGGATACTAATTCTTTATCAACCACCTATGTTGCAGATATCCCTACAGATAAACAGTGCCGTATCCATGATAAACTAAGTTCCCATGTGTACTTTGGGTCTAGGATTTTCAAAACCATTTCTGGATCCCTTTTAACAGTCCTTGCTCCAACTTCTCTCTTTCCTTCATATTTTACTATAAGCAGCAAGAAGCCAGGTAGCAACTTTGACATTTTGCTTGGAGATCTAACTAGAGTATCTAGCCTTTTAGGTACATTTTTCTGTGTTCCACATTACTCTAGGTGATCATGTAAAACATTCTGACACTACATAACTAAGGAATCTCTTACTTCCAGTTTCCAGTAACATTCTCACTTCTGAAGTGGCTACTGCAGGCAGTCTCCTTCAAGACCACCAGACTATATTTTTCTAGGATGGTTTGTTTCTCAAGGGACCATCGATTTCTACTAATAGTCTGTTTTGTTTGTTTGTTTGTTTGTTTGTTTGTTTGTTTTGAGATGGAGTGTCACTCTGTCATCCAGGCTAGAGTACAGTGGTACGATCTTGGCTTACTGCAACCTCCATCTCCTGGGTTCAAGCAGTTCTGCCTCAGCCTCCTGAGTAGCTGGGATTACAGGCACCTGGCACCAGGCCTGGCTAATTTTTATATTTTTAGTAGAGACAGGGTTTCACCATGTTGGCCAGGCTGGTCTTGAACTGACCTTCAGCTATCCACCCACCTCAGCCTCCCAAAGTGTTGGGATTACAGATGTGAGCCACCATGCCCGGCCTACTTCCACAGTTTCTATGGGTTAGGAATTTTGAGGGGGTAGCTTAACTGGGGCAGGAAGATCTATTTCCACCATTGCTCACTCAGATGACTATTGACAAGAAGCCTCAGTTCCTCTCTGGCTCTTGGTAGAAAGTCTCAGTTCCTCAAGAAAGGCTTTCTTTTTTTCAATTTTATTTACTCCTTTTTTGGAGACAGGGTCTCACTTTGTCACTCAGGGTGGAGTGCAATGGCATAATCGTAGCTCACTGCAGCCTCAAACTCCTGGGCTCAAGTATTCGTCCCACTTCAGCCTCCCAAGTAGCTGGGACTACAGACATGTGCCACCATGCCCAACTAATTTTAATTTTTTTGTAGAAATGGGGTCTCACTGTTGCCCAGGCTGGTCTCCAACTCCTGGGCTCAAGCACTCCTCCTGCTTCAGACTCTCCAAGTGCGGAGATTTGTACCAGCCACAAAGGGACGTTTTCATAGGGCTTCTTACGTGTCCCCAGGACATGACAATGGGCTTCCTATAGAGTGAGCAATCCAAGAGAGCAAGGAGGAACCCGCAATGTCTTTGTGACCTAGTCTTGAAAGTCAAACACCAATTCTGATTCTATTCATTAGAACCAAGTGAACTCAGGTGATCCACTGGCCAAAGTGCTGGGATGACAGGCACGAACCACCATGCCTGGCAAGAAATTTTTAAATTTCATTAAGTGTTAGTTACCCTTAAAAGCATCTTAAGTGGTTAATTATAAAAGTTGGATTTCTTCGTCCTAAAATTGGTTAAAAAAATTAAAAATGTGTTTAATTTCTATTCAGTTTGTTTTTGTTTGTTTTGAGACAAAGTTTCACTCCTGTTGCCCAGGCTGGAGTGCAATGGCACGATGGCTCACTGCAAACTCCTCCTCCCAGGGTAAGCTATTCTCCTGTCTCAGCCTCCTGAGTAGCTGGGATTACAGGCGCCCGCCACTATGCTCGGCTAATATTTGTATTTTCAATAGAGTCAGGGTTTCACCATGTTGGCCAGGCTGGTCTCAAACTTCTGACCTCAGGTGATCCACCCACCTCGGCCTCCCAAAGTGCTGAGATTACAATCGTAAGCCAGCACATCTGGTCCTTTTATTTAGTTTCTAGTATTCATGTACACATGTACCCTTTTTTAGAATTGTTAAAAATGGCCCAGCCTTACTAAGATTTTCCTAAGTTTGTCTCCCAGACATTGGGAACTCAAAGAGGAGGTGAGGGAACTTAGGTGTGAAGGTGGATTGTGGATTCAGACCACCTGACCTGGAGGCTGACTCACAGGCTAACCAGTAGAGTGACCTCCGGCACATGGCTTCACCTCGCCAAGCCTGACACTCCTCATCGGTAAAGCCAGGGTTAGGGGAACCTACCTTTTGGCTTGTTTTGATAATTAAATGAGATAATGTCCACAAAAAATACTTGGTAGATAAATGTTAACTAAATTTTGAGCTTTTAAAAATGTTTAACTGGCTGGGCACAGTGGCTCATGCCTGTAATCCCAGCACTTTGGGAGGCTGAGGCGAGTGGATCACCTGAAGTCAGGAGTTCGAGACCAGCCCAGCCAACAAGGTGAAACCCGGTCACTACTAAAAATACAAAAATTAGCTGGGCATGGTGGTGGACGCCTATATCCTAGCTACTCAGGAGGCTGAAGAATTGCTTGAACCCAGGAGGCGGAGGCTGCAGTGAGCCGAGATTGAGCCACTGCACTCCAGCCTGGGCTATAGAGTGAGACTCCGTCTCAAAAATAATAAATAAATAAATAAATAAGGAGAATCATTTGAACCCAGGAGCGGAGCCTGCAGTGAGCCGAGATCCAGCCATTGCACTCCAGCCTGGGCGATAGAGTGAGACTCCGTCTCAAAAATAATAAATAAATAAATAAAGGCTGGGCGCGTTGGCTCACGCCTGTAATCCCAGCACTTTGGGAGGCCGAGGCAGAAGGATGACGAGGTCAGGAGATCAAGACCATCGTGGCCAAGGTGGTGAAACCCTGCCTCTACTAAAAATACAAAAATTAGCTGGGTGTGGTGGCAGGCGCCTGTAATTCCAGCTACTCAGGAGGCTGAGGCAGAAGAATCGCTTGAACCCGGGACGCAGAGGCTGCAGTGAGCCGAGATTGCACCACTGCACTCCAGCCTGGCGACAGAGTGAGACTCCGTCTCAAAACAAACAAACAAACAAAAACCCAAAAACGTCTAACTGAAAAGAGGTGGGGCTGTTGAACAGAAAAAGCTCTCTTGCCCTTTATAAAAACCCAAGTGAACCTCTGAAGAATTTTTAAATGAGCAAATGAGGCGGGGAGCGGGGTGGATTAATATAATAGGTCCCTTTCTACACTGTAAGGCTTTTCTCACACCTTTTTGCTACTGAAAATCTGAAAGCCCCTCTCGGCCGCAGCCTACAGTCCTTCGGCCCGGCAGGTGCGCTGGAACCCGGAGTTGGTAGGAGGCCGGCTGTCCGCAGCCCCAGCCCTTAGCGGCCCCGCGGTCAGCGACCTCCAGGCGCGGCGGGGACGGGAGGTGTGGCCCCTCCGGCTTGCGGGTGAAGGGCCCCGCCTCCAGCGATCGCGGCCCCGCCCCGGCTCCTCCTCCTCCGCGGCTTACCCGGGCTCCGACGGTGGCTGCCCAGGTCCGAGTTGCGGCCGCAGGAACCCGAGCCATGCGGGCCGCAGACTGGAAAGCGCGCCCGGGGCTTCTGCCCCTGCTGCTGCTGCTGCTGGCCGGGGCCGGGCTGTCCGCCGCCTCTCCCGCAGCAGCGCCGCGCTTCAACGTGAGCCTAGACGCGGCCCCCGAGCTGCGCTGGCTGCCGGTGCTGCAGCACTACGACTTGGACTTGATGCGCGCCGCGGTGGCGCAAGTCATCCGGTGAGCTGGGCCCCTGGACGGGGTCTGCGGGGACGCAGGCGGCGCGGGTCGGAGTCAGACGCGCGCTGCCCAAAGTGTTTTAAACCCTGACGCTTTACTCCCCGCCACACTGGGCGAACTGGCTTTGGCCGCCGCCCTGGGCAGGGTCGGCGTTGGGGAGAATCTAGTGCGGCAGGTTCAGCTTCCAAGTTCGGTGTCACCCGTGGCACGCCAGTCCTTGAGCCATTCCGGGTCAGGATGGCTCGCGGGTTGTCGCCCGGGCTGCGTAGCTACCGAGGAGGGACAACCCGCGACTTCCTTGAGGGCTTCGCGGGCCCTCCAAGCCTGCCCTGGGACCAGCCTCATTCGCCCTCCCTATCCCCGAGTTTTCTTCCTCGCCCGCCCCCGGGGGGCTGCGGACCGAGGGACGCGGCGCCAGAGCTGTCCGCTGTCTGGGGCGCGGTGGCCCTGAGCGCTCACCCCCTCAGGATGTAGTCCCGCTCCCAGTACACAGGCAGTCGCATGCCGCCGAACTCTGAGCGGGTCAGACGCCCTCCTGCTTTTCGTTTCCAGGGATAGAGTCCCCACGTGGGTGCACGTGTTGATGGGAAAGGTGGTCCTGGAGCTGGAGCGCTTCCTGCCCCAGCCCTTCACCGGCGAGATCCGCGGCATGTGCGACTTCCTGAACCTCAGCCTGGCCGACTGCCTCCTGGTCAACCTGGCCTACGAGTCCTCCGCGTGAGTGCCCCAAGCCGGTGCCGAGTAACGCGGGGCTTGCGGCGGGGGGCCTCCTGACACAGACTAGCAGGAGGAGACATGCTTTCCGTGTGATAAAAACAGGGTGGTGCCTGCTTGCCCAGAAACCTCCAGCGCTTCCTCTGCTTCTCTGGGTAAATCTGAGCTGCAGATCGTAGGCTTCGAGAGGGAAAGCAGCTTCTCTGACTCAACACTGAAATTTCCTCTCCCAGTAGCCCCTGGTTTTCTCTCCCCCAATTCAGGTAGCATCCTACTTTTTAAATTCTGCTCAAACGTACTTTTCCAGGAAGTTTTTGAAATGAAGCTTCCTCTCATCTGGACCCTTTAGTGAACTCAGTGGCCTTCCAGATCTATACTGACAGTGGCGCATCTCTGCCCTTATTTGTCGCCCTGCATTTATCTCTCATGTGTGTCATGGCTGAAGTGTCTGTGTCCACCAGGGATGGGACCACAGGGAAAACTTCTCTAATAGCGCCAGCCAGTGTTTGGACCGGGAAGCGGGCATGATAAAATGTGCACCCAGGCCGGGCGCGGTGGCTCACACCTGTAATCCCTAGGCGGGCAGAACACCTGAGGTCCGGAGTTCAAGACCAGCCTGGCCAACATGGAGAAACCCCCATCTCTACTAATAATACAAAAAAATTAGCTGAGTGTGGTGGTGGTGGTGGTGGTGAGGGGGGGTGCCTGTAATCCCAGCTACTTGGGAGGCTGAGGCAGGAGAATGGTTTGAACCCGGGAGGCAGAGGTTGCAGTGAGCCGTGATGGCCCTATTGCACTCCAGCCTGAGCGACAAAGGGAGACTCCATACATATATGGGCCTGGCGAGGTGGCTCACGCCTGTAATCTCAGCCCTTTGGGAGACCATTCTGGCTAACATGGTGAAACCCTGTCTCTACTAAAAATACGAAAAATTAGCCGGGCATCATAGTGACACATGCCTGTAGTCCCAGCTACCCGGGAAGCTGAGGCAGGAGAATTGCTTGAACCCGGGAGGCGGAGGTTGCAGTGAGCCGAGATCGCACCATTGCACTCCAGCCTGGGCAACAAAGCAAGACTCCGTCTCAAAATAAATACATGAATAAATAAATAAATAAATAAAATTGTTAAAGTGCACCCAGAAGTGAAAGTAACATGGAGTGTGCAGTTGATCCCAGGCAAAGTGCTGGGGTTTATGGGCTTAGTAACTGGTCTTGGAATAAAGAGGTTTGACTTGGTTTCTCCCTTTAATACTTAACTGTTTTGCCACCAGACTGGCCTCATCTCTTAACATCTTGTACATACTTAGAGCTTCTTGCTGCCTAAAGATGATGAGAGTAGAAAAGATCTTGGAATAATGAAACTTTACCGGCCCAGGCATCTTCCTAGAACACCTAGGCAGAGTAAGCAAAGCAGCACTGTGACTGCCTTCCTCTTCAGGAAACGCTTTCAGGCACAGAAAAGACACAGGTTTGGTAAATAAAGTGCTTTTCAGTTGAACTAAGTTATTATAATTTTACCACCTCCCTCTCCTACCTCCAGCTTTTTCCTATTTTTAAGTTACAGCTTTCTCAGTGAAAAATCATAAATCATTTTTACCTTCATCTGTTGGAGTCACCATATTCAAACAGATAAAAGCAAACGTTCTAGTAAAAACATTCTAACTTTTGGATTTGATACTAAGGTATGTATTGAATTGCCTAATAAAATGCACTCTTCAATTCACTAGTATTGACAAAGGAAATGCTTTCTTCTCATTTTGGAAGTAAGCCTTCTTGAATTAGAATAATACTAGCTACCCTTTAGTGAGCCTATTGGGTGCCAGGCACTTCATGAACACAGCCCCGTGGGGAAGATGGTATCATCTGTTTTGTGATGTGGAAACCAAGCCTCAGAAGGGCCCCCTTGCTGGAAGTCAGGTTGCTGGTGAGCGCTGAAAGCATGTGACCCTCCAGTGGCTGCAGTGCCTCTCAGAGCAGAACCCGTTTCCTCATTTGTCTCCGGTGCTTGTGCACTGCCGCATCACACTGCAACATGTGGGCGTCATGTGAAAGTATTGCTGTCTTGCCAATTTTGAAAAATCACCTTTGAGACAGAAGATTCTACAAACTCTGCTTTGGTACTTCCCATGTCTTACCAGTCCCCTCCCTGACCTGAACTCTTTGAAGTTAAGTTCAGAACCTTGGAGGGAGGCCGGGCGGGCACAGTGGTTCATGCCTGTAATCCCAGCAGTTTGAGAGGCTCAGGTGGGTGGATCTCTTGAGCCCAGGAGTTCGAGACCAGCCTGGGCAACATGGTAAAACCTCGTCTCTACATAAAATACCAAAAAAAATTAGCCAGATGTGGTGGCTTGCACCTGGGTCCCAGCTGCTTGAGAGGCTGAGGTGGGAGGATGGCTTGAGCCTGGGAAGTCAAGGCTGCAGTGAGCCGAGATGGCGCCACTGCACTCCCGCCTGGGTGACAGAGACTCAAATAAACAAACAAATGAAAAACAGAAACCTTAGAGGGAATTAAAACCTGGCAAGTTTCCATCTTTAAACAAACAACAAAAAAGTAACGCTTTATTCCCCTTAATTATAAAAGTAACATGTAATCATTGTAGAAAATCAGTAAATGTAGAAAAGTAAAAAGAACAAAGCTAACCACCATTCTGTTATTCAAAAATGAACAGAAAAAACCTTCAGGTTATTTTCTCTCAGTTTTGTTCATGTGGATATATATATCTTTTTCCCCTGGTATTGAACATACTGTATATAAATATTTTTTCATATACCATTAAATATTCTCAGAGAATATGGATATTTGGATATTTAAATATTTAACAAGTTTCCTCCTGTTTTTCTCAGAATACTTACTTTCATAGAGATTTCCCTTTTTTTAAATTATCTCTGTGCAAGGAGCTGGGAAAGAGACCCTAAAGTGCCAAGCCCCTAAAGCGCCAGCCATTTTCCCAAGGGGACAAAGTAAAACATTTGTGAAACAATGGTTTAGTGCTACTCTACTCGCTCTGAGGAATTCATAATATGGAGAGGTGAGCTTGAGCTGGCTTTGAACAATGTGTTAAATAGAATACATACTACCAAGCTGAGGAAAAAGCAGAGTTCAAAGGTATCCTGAGCCCAAGATAGGTTAGTTTCACTTAGGAATTAGACTGAGGGTCGGGCGCGGTGGCTCACACCTGTAATCCCAGCACTTTGGGAGGCCGAGGCGGGTGGATCACTTGAGGTCAGGAGTTCGAGACCAGCCTGGCCAACATAGTGAAACCCCGTCTCTAAAAAAAAAAAAAAAAAAAGGAATTAGACTGAGGGTGAAATTCTTAACTAACTATGCTTATGATGCCACCCCTGTGTACTAAGCGCAAAGAACCTAGAAACACTGAATGAACACAGGTGAGTTGTATCCAGTTGTATGTTTCATCTTGAATTGTGAATCTATATTCTCATATAAGCATTATACCACTTATGTCAGTTATAAGGAAGAGAAACTATTTTACTTTGAGGACTCGTTTTACAAATGAAAAACTCCTTTTCCTTTTGTTCTTATTTGTCTTATTCATTCATGTTGGACTTTTCCCTTTTCTCAGATTCTGCACCAGTATTGTGGCTCAAGACTCCAGAGGCCACATTTACCACGGTCGGAATCTGGATTATCCTTTTGGGAATATCTTACGCAAGTTTACCGTGGATGTGCAATTCTTAAAGAATGGGCAGGTATAGTCCGTACCGTAAAGATAAGAAATCAGAAAGATTTGCTAACTCAAGTTAGCTGTCATTTGAATGGCCTGCTAACTTAAATGTGTTATCAGCGTAAGACACAAAAAACATCATGCACCTGGAAAAACAAAGCCCAAAGAGAGGTTTACATCAATTATGCTCATAGGAAGGACAGTCATTTATTATTATTGAGCATCTACTTAAAGAGGTCACCCAGTTTTCTTTAGGGACATCTCTTTTAGAGAGTGATGAATTATCTGCTTATCCAGAGTCAGCTCTTTTCTCTGCTTTCCCATGCCCAATCTGCTTTTGGAATAGGGAGGGGCTGGGTAGTGCCATAACTAGGAACACCCAACTTCGGGATCTGACAGTCCCAGGTTTGAATCCTGATTCTATCAATTACTGTACTTCCTTTGTGAACCTGAGAAATTAGTCATATAATAATTTGGCAGACTGCAGCCGGTGGAGGCTCGTAATTACTTTACTGAGATAGTTACAAATGTTAAATGAAGTAGTCTATGTAAAACCATGTAGTAGGTGCCTGATAAGTTATAGCCAAATAATAAATGGTCCTTCATTCTGCAAGTATGATTGATCACATCACTCTCTTAGGTATGATCTTTAAAAAATTATACTTAGATTTTTTGTTTATAGCATAGTCCGTTTAAAAGTATAATCTAGCATGTGCTGTTGTCACTGTGTAGAATTCTAGAGAGACAGAATTAATCAATGTTCACTGAGTACACACAGCATGTTTTGCTGTAAACCAGAATGCAGCATGCCAAAGCCGGATTTTGACTGTAAGGACAAGGACTATATTCCCTGTGTCCTTTGCATTTAGGGGTTGATTCACAAATACTGAAAACTCATTTACTAACTAGTCAGTTAGCCATCTGCTTTTACAAACACTCTTTTTCATAAAAAGTTCAAATAGTACAGAAATGTTAGTAAAAGTTTATCCTTTTCAGTCCTGTTTCTTCACTTCGCCACTATTAACAATTTGATTTCTAGCTGAATTACTTTAAAAATGATTTTAAATGGTAACGATATACAAATGCATAATTAATTCTCAAAGGAAATATGCTAAATATTAAGGTATTACTGACTGATGGGATAATATTTTTTATTCATGTTTTTTCTTCATTATTCTATAATGAGCTAATACTCTTACAAATAGACAAAGGAATAAATGCAATGAAAATTATTTCAACTGTTCTAAAACTCATTTTAATAGTTGTTCCTTCATTTGTTTTTGTTTTTCCTGGAGTTTCCATGAAATAGTCTATAGAGAAATAGTTGACAGAGACAGCTTTACTCTCAGAACTCAGGTTCCGTTACTAAATCTAGACAGTTTACACTGGGTATTGCTTTTCTATGGAGGACTCATGGCCAAGAAATTGTTTTACTAAATTAAGAACAGGTTATCCACAAAATAATTCATCTCTCATTCTTGTCTCGTGTATATAATCTTAAAAGTATTTTTATACACAGGACCTCATTTGACCCTCCCAGCAGCCCTGCAAAGCAGGCATAAGTCAGCATTTTTATCTTCACTTTCTAGATGAGGGCGTCTAGCTTCACAGAGCTTGACCTGCCCCAAATCTCAAGGCAGAGAGATGGCAGAGGGAGGGCCAGAACCCAGGCACTGGGCCTATTGATTGTTTTTGTTTTTGAACTCAGCCTTAATTAGGCTGTAAATTGTCCTTAATATAACTGATGTTTTTATTTTTGAGACAGTCTCGCTCTGTCACCCAGGCTGGAGTGCAGTGGTGTAATCTCGGCTCACTGCAACATCTGCCTTCCAGGTTCAAGCAATTCTCCTGCCTCAGCCTCCTAAGTAGGTGGGACTGCAGGAGGGCGCCCCCACACCCAGCCAACTTTTGTATTTTTAGTAGAGATGGGGTTTCACTATGTTGCCAAGGCTAGTCTTGAACTCCTGAGCTCAGATAATCCACCTGCCTTGGCCTCCCAAAGCGCTGGGATTACAGGTGTGAGACACTGCACCAGGCAGTTAGGCTAAAACTTAAAATTCCCTGCTAAGGGTTTATTTATGTTAACTGACTAGGCAGAAACAATTGGGAAGTACAAACAGAAGTAGAGACAGATTTTCAGAGCTGCAAGATAAAATATCTTTTAAGTTATATCTCAATATTACTTATAATTATGTATCATAATTGAAAACTACGATGTGATTTTGATCTCAAAACTTCAGTTTTTCTCAGCCCTTCAAGAGTGACCCTAACATGAGGGTGAGGGTCACCCTCATGTTACAGTCACTGTGTCATGCAAATGTAGTGGCCATGTAATTACTTTTTATTATCCTATAATTACATTTGTAAGGGCTTTAGTCAAAAGGTAGACTTATTTCTGCTTTACTGACATTCGTGGAAATGGGGGCACTCATGGAGGTCCTTAGTAAGTCTGAGGGCTGAGGTCATTTTATAAAACTAAGGCCACTGCATTCTCCCTTGTAATTCAGCACCTTAAATTATTTCTACAACCAGATAAGGTAAAAATAAATAATTAAGTGAAAAACATTACTGATTTAATTTTTCTGAGGAAAATATCAATCTAGGACTATGTATTTCTTAAAACATCACAGTATTAGTTAACTTTTATTGAACAATATGAATCAGATACTGTTTTAAGTACTTTTTAATTTTTTTTTAGACAGAGTCTTGCTGTGTCACAAGGTGGAGTGCAGTGGTACGATCTCAGCTCACCATAATCTTTACCTGCTGGGTTCAAGCGATTCTTCTGCCTTAGCTTCCCGAGTAGCTTGGACCACAGGTGCATGCCACCACACCCAGCTAAGTTTTGTACTTTTGGTAGAGATGGGGTTTCGCCATGTTGGCCAGGCTGGTCTCAAACTCCTGGCCTCAAGTGATCCTCCCGCCTTGGCCTCCCAAAGTGCTGGATTACAGGCATGAGCCACCACACCTGGCCAAAGAACTTATTTGAAAAATAAAATTTTTGCCATGGAACAGCTTACAGAAAAAATAAAAATAAATAAATAAAATGAAAAATAAAATTTGCTATCGGAAATAACTGGTAAAGGCTAGTTGTGGTGGCACACACCTGTAATCTAGCACTTTGAGAAGCCAAGACAGAAGGACTGCTTGAGCCCAGGAGTTTAGACCAGCCTGGGCCACATAGGCAGACCCTATCTATAGGAAAACCATAGTAATAATAATAATTAGATTTGGTGGCACGGGCCTGTGGTCCCAGCTGCTTAGGAAACTGAGGTGGGAGGATCACTCGAGCCCAGGAGGTTAAGGCTGCGGTGAGTCATGATTGCGCTCCAGCCTCAGTGACATATAGAGTTTGAATTTTCTCCTGCAGATTACATAGTAGTATCTTGCAATCACTGGAGCTCATGACCTTAATTTAAAGTGGAGGTGATCCCTATAATTCATGGGATAGTTATGAGTATTAAATGAAAGAGCTGTGTACAAGGATTTTTACATATTTAAAATTTAAATGTGATTATTGTTGGTGAACAGTTCCACTTGTTTCTCCTAACTTCACAGAGCTTATAAAATGTGTGATATTTATCTCTTATCATCAAATCAAAACAAGTTTTTCAATAAGACTCCATTTGCCACTTCTAGGATGGGACCTCTTAATCTACTTTGTGCACCCCTTTGATGAATAATGTTTTATAAATACATAAAATAAAATACGTGGGATAACAAAGGAAATCAGTTGTGTTGAAATCAGCCATTTCAATGTTATACTTTTTCTTAACACATTAAATAGTAAGGTTTAGCAGTGGGTCTAATAACTGCCATGTTTTCAAAGTAGTAAATTATGGACAGTGTTTCAAAATATCTGCAGCCAACATTGTGTATGTGAAAATACCTGTGATTTCTACCAGTGACAAAATTATAGGCACCACTATGATTGCGTGATTTGTTGCATGCATTCATTATAGAAGGAATTAAATTTCAGTTAAGGTTAGTGAAAATGCATCTTTTTTTCCCCCATCCAAAGTCATGAATCCACTAAAATCTATGTATGGACCACGCCCCCCACCCCAACTTAAGGTTAAGAACCTCTGTCTTAGAAGGCTATTTCAGAGCTTTATTCTATTATGTTGGAACTTAGAAGGAAAAAAATCCAAAAATTGTAGGGCAAAACAGGTGATTTCAATGTATTTGATTGGACCGTTGAAATAATCCATTACATCTTGATTTCAGATTGCATTCACAGGAACTACTTTTATTGGCTATGTAGGATTATGGACCGGTCAGAGCCCACACAAGTTTACAATTTCTGGTGATGAACGAGGTAATCAAAACAAACTCCTGTGTAATTTAAGCTACGTTATTGTTCAGTTCTATCCAAGTACTTCCTTCACTCACCCAACATACAGAACATACAGAACACCCACTATGTGGCAGGGACTTCCATCCTAGGGAGAGGAAAGGGACAGCATGCACGGAAGCAATGACGACGAGTTCAGGTAGCAATAAGTGCTACAAAGAAAGCAAAATAGGTTTGCCGGGCATTGTGGTACGTGCCTATAGTCCCAGCTACTCCAGAGGCTGAGGCAGGAGAATCAATTGAACTCTGAAGGTGGAGGTTGTGGTGAGCCAAGATTGTGCCATTGCACTTTAGCCTGGGCAATATGAGTGAAAGTCTGAAGAAAGAAAGACAGAAAGAGAGAGAGAGAAAGAGGGAGGGAGGGAAAAAAGGAAGAAAGGAAGGAAGGGAGGGAGGAAGGAAGGAAGGAAAAGAAGAGAGAAGAAAGGAGTGAAGGAAGGAAGAAGGGAAAGAAGGAAGGAAGGAAGAAAAGAAAGCAAAATAGGAAGCTGTGATAGAGAGTGAAAGAGGAGGTGGAGTGGTTAGTACAGATCAGAGGGTCAGAGAAGGCCTGACCCATGTGATCCAGGAGCTAGCTCTGCAGAAGCCAGGGGAAGACCATTTCTGGTAGACTTACCGCAAGGATGAAGGCCACAGGTAGGAATAATAAGCTTGGTGGATTTCAGAAACAAAAGAAAGTCAGTGTGGTTAGAGTATGGTGTAAATGGATAGTGACATTAGAAGTGAAGAAGAGGCTGAGGCCATGGTGCAGGGTCACAATGAAGAGTTTGGATTTTAAGTATAATGGAAGCTGTAGGGGGGTTGTAGGCCAGGGAGTGAACAGATGTGATTTATATTTTTAGCTATTACTTTTGCTGCTCTGTAGAGACTGGATTGTGTTAGGTTAAGATGGAAGCAGAAGACCATTTGGAAACTACTGTGATAATCTAGGGGATCTATGGTGCTGTTAATCAAGTAACATTTGTAATTCACTTTCTGGCTTAACATGCACATCCTCACATGTCTTCTTCTTAGACACAACAGTCCTTTTAGGCAGGGCTGTTATTATTAACTCCATTCATTTGGCAGAGAAGGAAATAGGCTGTGAGAGGAAATGACAGCTAGCAGTGGGAGAGGAAATTCTCAGATTGCTCTCCTGGGTCCTGGCCCAATTGCTCTGTTCATTGACATCCCCACTGCCATTCCCCAGATCTCAGGGGAACACCATTTAGTTCCACAGTATGTGGGAAACCCAGAGATAAGAAAGCTCTGTGTGTATTCTCAGCGTGCAGCTGAATCAAGGAAAAGGATATATATAAGGAGTGTCTTGAAGTTTAGTGTTGCTCATCTGATGAATCCTGATTGACTTTTTTTTTTGTTTTTTGGGGTTCGTTTGTTTGAGACACAATCTCGCTCTGTTGTCCAGGCTGGAATGCAGTGGTGCAATCTGGGCTCACTGCAACCTCTGCCTCCCGGGCTCAAGCGATTCTCATGCCTCAGCTTTCTGAGTAGCTGGGATAACAGGCACGCACCACCACACCTGGCTAATTTTTGTGTTTTTGGTAGAGATGGGGTTTCGCCATGTTGGCAAGGCTGGTCTCGATCTGTCAACCTCAGGTGATCCACCACCTTGGCCTCCCAAAGTTCTGGGGGTTACAGGTGTGAGCCAATGCACCTGGCCAGTGTTGTTGTTTATTCTTATCTTTTTACATAAGGCTTTACCGGGAAGATGGTGGTTGAGTATATATCAGTGTCCACGGTAAACATTTCTTTATCCTAATGTATTTCTTCCACATTTTCTCAAATGTCAGCTATGTACAGGACTGGTTCTCAACCAGTGGCACCCAAACCACAGCATGACAATTACTGAGGTTTTTAATAGAATGCCTATAATCACATGTATATTTATGAAAAATGACTGGCTTTCATTTTGCAACTCAAGTTGTTTGCCAAACTTGATTAGTAGAGTCTAAGATATGAGCAGTTAAAAATAACCAAGTTTATCTACCACATATGCATTTAATGAAACACTGCTAACTGCTTTTAGCCAGGCATGGTGGCATGTGCCTGTAGTCCCAGCTACTTGGGAGGCAGAAGAGGGAGGATGGCTTGGGCCCAGGAGTTCGAGGCTGAGATGAGCTGTGATATTAAGTCTCTGGACATTATGGAGGGTTCCAGCAGTGCCTCAAAGACCCCCAAGGAAAGGATAAGGATATGAGGAGGACTGGCAAATGCCGCGGAACATGGGGAGGCTTAACAAAACACCTGGTGGGTAAGATCTCGACTCCAGAGCCAGCCTGCCTGGGTTTAAATCTTAGTGCTGTCACTTGGTGGCTGGGTGACCATGATCAAGGAGCTTAACCTGTCTGTGCTTCAGTTTCCTCATCTCAAAAGCAGAGATGATAATAGCTGCTGTGAGGACGAAATGAATTAGTGAATATGAAATACAGCAGTCCCTGGCACACAGCAAAGGCCGTGGAAGTGTTTTTGCTATTGTCGCATCTCCGGGCCTGGCCTCTTCTGAGTCTTAGACTGGAGCATCCAGCCATCTTCTCAGCATCTCCATTCTGACGTCCACTAGGCGTCTTACACTTAGCGTGCCTAAGCTGATCTCTTGCATTTTTCTTTTCCCCATTTTCTACCCAACTCTGCCTCTACTCAAATCTGTCCCTCTCCTTGTTTCCCATGTCTCAGCAAATGGCACCTCTACGCACACAACTGCTACCAGAAGTCATCACTGACCCTTCACTCCCTAAGTCTTATCAGCTGTGACACCAGAACTAGACTGTACCTCTCCATTCTCTCTACCTCTACTGCTGAGCTAGCCCCCATCACACCTGTACTGCCTGCTCAGCCCACCTGATCTCCTTGCTACTATTTTTACCTTCCTGTACTTCTTTTCCTACCCAGCAACTAGAATGGTCAGGTTATTCCACCTATTGTGACAAATATTGCATGATTTCACTTATATGTGGAATCTCCAAGTTTGAACTCATAGGCCCAGAGAGTCGAATGGCCATTGCTAAGGGCTAGGGAAAATGGGGGATAGTCAAAAGGTACAAAGTTTGAATTCGACAGGAGGAATAAGTTCTGGTAATCCACACAGCAAGCTGACTACCATTAACAATCATGTATTATCTATTTCAAAATTGCTAGAGCGGATCTTTAAAAATTAATTTTGTTATTGAGACACATTACTTGTGCATATTTTGGGAGCACATATGATAAGGTGTTACATTCATATAATCACATCAGGGTAATTGTGATATGTGTCACCTTAAATATTTGTCTTTTCTTTACACTAAAAACATTCAAATTCTAGCTATTTGTGGGGGGTGGTGGTGGTTTTAAAATTAGAAAAAAAAAATTGTGTTTTTGTTTTTGAGACAAGAGTCTTGCTCTTCTCACCCAGGCTGGAGTCCACTGGCGTGATCTCAGCTCACTGTAGCCTCCGTCTCCCGGGTTCAAGCAAGTCTCCTGTCTCAGCCTTCTGAGTAGCTAAGACTACAGGCGTCCATCACCATGCCTGGTTAATTTTTACATTTTTAGTAGAAATGGGGTTTCACCATATTGGTCAGGCTGGTCTCGAACTTCTGATCTCAGGTGATCTGCCCATCTCAGCCTTCCAAAGTGCTGGAATTACAGATGTGAGCCACCATGCCCTGCATTTTTAAACATTTTTTTTACTAGAAACAAGACCTCATTATGTTACCCAGGCTGGTCTCAAACACCTGAGCTCATGCAATCCTCCTGCCTCAGCTTCCCAAAGTTGTGGGATTACAGGAGTGAGCCACTGTGCATGGCCTGGTTCGTTCTTTCCTTTGTTCTTAAGACAGAGTCTCACTCTGCTGCCCAGGTTAGAGCACAGTGGCGGGATCTTGGCTCACTGCAGCATCAATCTCCTAGGCTCAAGTGATCCTCCAACCTCAGCCTTCCAAGTAGCTGGGACCACAGGCATGTACCATCATGCCTGGCTAATTTTCGTAATTTTTGTAGAGGTAGGGTTTTGCCATGTTGCCCAGGCTGGACTAAAACTCTGAGCACAAGTGAACCACCTGCCTTTGTCTCCCAAAGTGCTGGAATTACAGGCATAAGCTACTACACCTGGCCGATAGCAGCCATCTTAATGGATGTGAGGTGGCATCTCACTGTAGTTTTGATGTGCATTTCTCTAATGATTAATGATATGGAATATCTTTTCATGTGCTTACTGGGCATTTATATATCTTCTTTGGAGAAATGTCTATTCAAGTCCTTTGCCTATGTTTTTTTTGTTTGTTTGTTTTGAGACAGAGTCTCACTCTGTCACTCAGGCTGGAGTGCAGTGACTTAATCAGAACTCACTGCAGTCTTGACCTCCAGTGCTCAAGCAATCCTCCTGCCTCAGCCTCCCCAGAATCTGGGACTACAGGCATGTGCCACCATACCTGATAATGTTAAAAGTTTTTGTAGAGATGGGGTTTCACTATTTTCCTCAGGCTGGTCTAAAACTCCTGGGCTCAAGCAGTCCTCCCACCTGGGCCTCCCAAAGTGTTGGGATTACAGGTGTGAGCCAACACATCTGGTCCTTTGCCCATTTTTTGTTTTGTTTTGTTTTGTTTTGTTTTGTTTTGAGACGGAGTTTCGCTCTTGTTACCCAGGCTGGAGTGCAATGGCGCGATCTCGGCTCACTGCAACCTCCGCCTCCCGGGTTCAGGCAATTCTCCTGCCTCAGCCTCCTGAGTAGCTAGGATTACAGGCACGTGCCACCATGCCCAGCTAATTTTTTGTATTTTTAGTAGAGACGGGATTTCACCATGTTGACCAGGATGGTCTCGATCTCTTGACCTCGTGATCCACCCGCCTCGGCCTCCCAAAGTGCTGGGATTACAGGCTTGAGCCACCACACCCGGCTTCCTTTGCCCATTTTTAAATTGGGCTGTTCGTTTTGTTGAGTTTTAGGCGTTCTCTAAATACTTGTATATTAATTTATTATTGCAAATATTTTCTCTCAATCTGTGAATTACCTTTTACTCTGTTGATACTGTCTTTTTTTTTTTTTTTTTTTTTTTCTGAAATGGAGTCTTGCTCTGTCACGCTGGCTGGAGTGCAATGGTGCGATCTCAGCTCACTGCAACCTCCACCTCCCAGGTTCAAGTAATTCTCCTGCCTCAGCCTCCTGAGTAGCTGGGATTACAGGCATGCACCAACATACCTGGCTAATTTTTGTATTTTTAGTAGAGACAGGGTTTCACCATGTTGGCCAGGCTGGTCTCAAACTCCTGACCTCAGGTGATCTGCCAGCCTCAACCTCCCAAAGTGCTGGGATTACAGGCATGAATCACTGTGCCAGGCCGATACTGTCTTTTAATGCACAGAATTTAAAAATTTTTGTGAAATTCTATTTGTCCATTTTTTTTCTCATATTGCTGTTACTTATCCTTGAATGAAAATCTTTGTTTGGCAATAGATCCCCTACAGAGACTTCTAAAAGTTGTCCAAAAGTAATTTTGGGAAATGATTGTAAATTCGTATTTTTTTAAAAATCTGAGCACAAATCACAGGTGTGGAAGATTCAAGTTCTCTATGTTCTCTCTAGTATTTATTCAGACATTTCCCTTGACAGCTACATAATTATATTTTGCCTGGTATAATTAATAGAATTATTTCCTTTAACATGATTATCATTGTGTCCTGGTACAAAAGATTCTGCTTTCAAAACTTGAGTGAATTTCTATCTATCTATATTTCCTTGCTAAAATGACATATCTGTTGTATGTATGCATATACACACACATATATAACATATATACTCAACTTGGCAGATAAAGGCTGGTGGTGGGAGAATGCTATTGCTGCCCTTTTTCGGAGACACATCCCGGTCAGCTGGCTGATCCGTGCTGTGAGTATATTTAATGTGGAGCCCTCCTTAACTCCACCTTCACCTTCTAAACCACCTTCTACACTGTTCTGTGTCATTTAACAATGTTGCTTTTCATGTAAGGAGCTCCTTAAAAGAATAAGCATCTAAATGTTTGCAAAGTGCATATAAACCTTTTTGATAAATGTCAAAGATAAAGGCAGACACTAGTTAAAGTGGTAAGGACAGATTTTAATCAGTATGTGCTATTGCAGTAAGAAAGAGTCCAGTGTGAACTGAGCTCAACTTTGGTTTGTGCAGAGGTGATGAATGCTTTAAAAGAAGGGGAGGGAACAGGAGCTTAGCAGAATCAGGGAAGTGAAAAATGGAGAGGAGGGGTTGGTCCATGTGAAACCAATTTGAATTTGCCAACCAGAGCTTAGAGATTATGCTCCTACCGTCCCACAGAGACTGGGAGACAGGGGCCCTACCTTCACTTTAAGGAGGACTAGTCATCTGAGAGATGTGGCCTTGAGCTGTTAGAAACTGTGTTAGTATTTGTTTGAGTCTTTATAAGCCAAGGTCAAGGGCTAATAGAGAAGAGGACTCAGAGGAGCCTGGCTACAGTTTGGTCAAAGAGAGAATCTTTGTCACAGGCTAGAGTTTTCCACAATAGCTGATTGAGATAGGAGATAATAATATGCTCTTCTATGGATACAGATGTACCCTCCTTTTAAAACCTCCGTTTACAAATATCCAAACTAGCAAAGCAAATGCATTAGAAGGCAGCTCTGCACACAACAAATGAAACATCTGCTCTACAAAAAACCTATTAAAACGTGCCGGGTTCCAGGCCACAGCTAAAGTAGTGAGATTGCACCACTGCACTCCAGCCTGGGCAACACAGTGAGACCCTGTCCCAAAAAAAAAAAAAGAAAAGAAAAGAAAAGAAAGAAAAGCCAGGCATGGTGGCTCATGCCTGTAATCCCAGCACTTTGGGAGGCTGAGGCAGGCAGATCATGAGGTCAGAAGTTCGAGACCAGCCTGACCAACATGGTGAAACCCTGTCTCTACTAAAAATAAAAAAATTAGCTGGGTGTGGTGGTGGTGCACCTGTAATCCTAGCTACTCAGAGGCTGAGGCGGGAGAATCCCTTAAACCTGAGAGTCGGAGGTTGCAGTGAGCTGAGATCATGCCACTGCACTCCAGCCTGAGCAACAGAGCGAGACTCCATCTCAAACAACAACAACAACAACAACAACAACGAAAAAAGAAAAGGGAAGGTGGAGCCTCCGTGTTGAACTTTTCTGCTAGCATTCACCCATGCAAGCTTCCAGCTTGCTTATCTATGTTTGCAGCTCAATTTTTCAGGCTGCTCTTCGTTAGAAAAGAATAATATCTTGGCCTGCTTTTTGTTAGAAAGGAAGCCTTGCCAAGGAATCTTTTACCCCCACTATCTGCCTAAATAATTTATTTCTATCTCCTGTATCAAAAAGGTGAAAGTTCTTGACTTGATAAGGAAAGAAAAACGTCCATATGCTGAGGTTGTTAGGCTCTCCGGAAGGACGAATCTGCTGGGTGCGATGGTGCCTACAGTCACAGACACTCAGGAGTGAGAGGCGGGAGGATCCCTCCAGCCTGGGAGTTCAGGTCCAGCAGACAACATAGTGGGAACCCATGAAAAAAAAGTAAATAAATAAAATTTAAAAAGGAAAAAAAAAATTAAGAAAGAAATCCCATGTCCATTAGCAGTCACTGTCCATTTCTTCCATTTCCTGAGACAAATGAGGCATTTGCACTCCGTGACTTTGTCACCTGGGTAAAATAAGTCACCACGGCCTTCAGTATTTTTTATTGATGTCCTTTTGCTTTGTTGTCACAGGTTAGAAGCAATGAATTTGATAGTGGTTGGGGGACGGTACAGGCAACATAAGCAAACAAATATTCCATCCCTCCTATTACCTCTGCAAAGGGCAAGGGAAAATTTCCTCTTTGCCCTCTGAAGTTTCGCTGAAAAGTCAACTCGCAAAAGGCAGATTAATTGGAGAAAAGGCATACAAATTTATTTAACATGTACATGACATAGGAGTCTTTGGATGAAGACCCAAAGATACAGGCAACATTGTGGATTTTTATGCTTACGTTTAACAAAGTGGGAATGCCATGTCGAAATACGATCGGACAAAAAAGTAGACCCAGTGCTAACAGAAGGAGGGGAAAACTCAGCTAGGCCTGTGTGTCTAGGTTCTTTTTGGCCTCTCTGAGCATACATTCCCTTCTTCTGGGTACAGGGCAGGATCCTCTCTGGAAAGGGGATCATATGACCTATAGTCAAACAAGTTAGGACAGATCATTCCTTTTTTTAAAAAAGAAAAACAGGGTTTCACTTTGACCCCAGGATGGAGTGCAGTGGCGTGATCTCGGCTCACTGCAACCTTCATTCACCTCCTGGGTTCAAGTGGTTCTCTCACCTATGCCTCCCTGAGTAGCTGGAACTACAGGCACATGCCACCACACCTGGCTAATTTTGTATTTTTAGTGAGACAAGGTTTCACCATGTTGCTCAGGCCGGTCTCGAACTCCTGACCTCAAGTGATCTGCTTGCCTCAGCCTCCAAAAGTACTGGCCTCACAAGCATGAGCCACCATTCCTGGCCAGGACAGATCATTTTTTTTTATGGCCAGTTTTTACACAGAAAGATGAAGGGAACGTTAGAGTAATAATTTTTGGTTTTATGGCTGGAATACCTCACCCCTAACACGGTAAGTATAAGACAGGAAAACTCTACAGAGCCCTGCCATGGGTTTTGTAGAGTTTTCCTGCCTTACATGTTTTGCTGTTAGGGTTTATGATGCTGAATAATGGAGCCTTTGCAGACACAGATATTTCGAATTATTCTTTTGTTTGACCCTGACACTACCTCCACCCTTGACAACGTGCCTTGGCAATATCCAGGATGGGTGAGCATACAGTGTACTTCCTTTAGAACATGGCAGAAGAGTGGTTGTGAAGGTGGAAACAGGAAGTGCAGTCCCTTCACTGAAGGATATTCTTGAGCAGATCAGCTCTTGGAAAGTGCCCAGGTGGAAGCTGAAGATTTGGGGAGTGATCCCCTTAAGTATCCTTGCCACGGGCCTTTGGAAGTCTTCATGGGCCCTCGGGGTGTCTGAGCACCAGTTAAGCTCAGAGCCCTAATGTAGCACACACTCTTTCATCACCAAGCCTTTGCTAGTCTAGTCCATTGGACAAAACACTTCCTTCCCCTCCTCACCCTGCAACCACCACTTTCACCACTCATTTCTGTTTGTCTCTTTGGCTTCAACTCATGTGATGCTTCCCTGCGGTACCTCCTTTACTGCCCTTGGTGAGGATGGGTCCCCTGCTGTGACATCCTTAGAATCCTCTTCTCCTGTGTGAACATTCATTACATTGTGTCACTATTGCCCGTTGACTTTTCTGTCCTCCTGAGAGGTTTGGGGAAACAAGACCAGGCGACTCATTCACTGCTTTATCCCCAAACCAGCACAGTGCCTGGCACACAGTAGATATTCAAGAAAAACCTGTTAAAATAATAAATCAATGAAGAAGCACAAGGAGTCCTTTGTGAGGGCAACCTGCCTGGAGAGCACACAGCCTGTGTGTGCTGAGCCAGGCCTGGGGCTTGTCAGCAACTCTCTCCTCCTGTCAGAAATTCCTGCTGCTACAGGCTCCCCTTTGAAGCTGAGACTTCTTCCATCTTAGGAGCCCTGATGACAGGAGGATAAGATCAGAGCAGTTCAAGTAGTAGTCATGGCGTGATATATTAGGAGAATGTGCTTTGGATCCTTTCTGCATCACCTGGTGTGGACCCACCACTGGTGAGGTTGCTCATGCAAGTGCGTCTTTTTGCTCAGACCCTGAATGAGTCAGAAAACTTCGAAGCAGCTGTTGCCAGGTTGGCCAAGACTCCCCTTATTGCTGATGTTTATTACATTGTTGGTGGCACGTCCCCCCAGGAGGGAGTGGTCATCACAAGAAACAGAGATGGCCCAGCAGATATTTGGCCTCTAGATCCTTTGAATGGACGGTAAGTAGAATTGAAAGCTCTGGTCATTTTGTATCAAAAATTTTTTTTAATTGGTGAAATGAGGGGTATTTTAAATTTGTTAATGTATCTCCTTTGCTGTGTTGTAAATTGCCTTGGGTAAGACAAGATGATGTGCTCTGTTTTAGGTGGTTTCAAGTTGAGACAAATTACGACCACTGGAAGCCAGCACCCAAACAAGATGACCGGAGGTGAGCTGCTATGTGCATTCTGGTCAGCAGTCTCTTCTTGCAGTCAGGAGACTGCACCCATTCTGTCCTAGGAACTGGCAAGAGCTACAGGTGCTGTACTGTCCCAGAAAACGTACCTGGACCCCTTCGCCAGTGCCTTGGCCAGCAAGGGAGTGTTGTGTGGAGGAAAGCAGTAGGCAGAGCCTCTCAGCAGCTGGGCGGGTGTTGGGAGGGTCTCAGGGTCAGGAGCCCTACAGCCCACCACCAGCTCTGCTAATGACTTACTGGGTGGCTCTCAGGCCTCTGCCTACCAATCTGTAAAATGAAAGCAAAGGGCCAGGTTCATGGTATTCTAGGCAAGATATTTTTAGAAGGAAATTATTTTTCTTATTTAAATATAAATAAACCAGTCGGCCAGGTGCGGTGGCTCATGTCTCTAATTCCAGCACTTTGGGAGGCCAAGGCGGGCAGATCATGAGGTCAGGAGTTCGAGAAGAGCCTGGCCAACATGGTGAAACCCCATCTCTACTAAAAATACAAAAATTAGCAGGGGGTGGTGGCGCCTGCCTGTAATCCCAGCTACTTGGGAGGCTGAGGCAGGAGAATCACTTGAACCTGGGAGGCAGAGGTTGCAGTGAGCCGAGATCACGTCACCGCACCCCAGCCTGGTGACAGAGCGAGACTCCACCCTCTAAATAAATAAATAAATAAATAAATAAACAAACAAGTCACGGGCTTTAATTGTCCCTTCAAGTTGTAAACATTCTATAATTATAAGTCAGCACAGTTCCAAAGTGCAGGTAGCTGTACACATTGCCTTGGCTTTGTGCCCCACAAGTTTGGGCACTGCTCAGTTCTGCAGCCACACATTTTCATTATCCCAGCTTTCTTGAGCAGATGGGGCCAACCAGCCCAGCTGCTGGATGAATTCCCACATGGTGGGCTGGGCCTTAGGGGAAACAGGCTTGGGGCCGGAATCTGTTTTGGAGAAAGGGAGATAATGAGACCAGAGCTTGCATTGTGCCTCCCAAAAATGACAGCTGATGGCTTCAGGGCTTGCTGAAGTGCCAAGTGACCTTTGACCATTGTTCTTACAGAACACCTGCCATCAAGGCCCTTAATGCCACGGGACAAGCAAACCTCAGCCTGGAGTCACTTTTCCAGGTAACTTGTGTATGTCCGGCTTACCCAGGATGTTTGCTGTTTTGTTAATAGAGAATATGAAAAACTCCTCTGAAATCAAACAAATCTGGTAGATGAAATGTTTTATTTGACAAAAGTTTTATTTGGTTTAAGTCATTTATGAAAAGTCATATAACATTTTCTGAACTTGGTTCCCTATTAGTTAAAACGTCCACTTCACCTAAGTTTGTCTTCATATTAAAAAGAAAAAGGCATAGTTGTAATATTGTTCATTGTTTAAGGAAAAAAAGAGAAAGAATTAAAGAATCTTTTTTAAAGATTGTATTACTTGATTTTATTTTACACTAAGTGTTGGACACAAAGCAATCCTCCCTAATAAAGTTGACAATTAGCTTCACTCAACATTTTTAATAACACATTTTTTTTTTTTTTTTTTTTGAGACGGAGTTTCGCTCTTGTTACCCAGGCTGGAGTGCAATGGCGTGACCTCGGCTCACCGCAACCTCCGCCTCCTGGGTTCAGGCAATTCTCCTGCCTCAGCCTCCTAAGTAGCTGGGATTATAGGCACGCACCACCATGCCCAGCTAATTTTTTGTATTTTTAGTAGAGACGGGGTTTCACCATGTTGACCAGGGTGGTCTCGATCTCTCGACCTCGTGATCCACCCGCCTTGGCCTCCCAAAGTGCTGGGATTACAAGCTTGAGCCACCGCGCCCGGCCTAATAACACACATTTTTAAAAAAGTATTCGTTTTACAAATTCTTCTGCAATTCAAACATACAATAGCTTGGAAAACAATGTTTAGAAAACAAAAGCCGATGTAAAAAGACAGATTAAAACAACTAGAACAGTACAGGTTTTATATGAATCGGATTTTACAGTTTTCTTACTGCCTCATCAATGTCGGAGATCTGTTCCTTCAGCTGGCTCCATTGTTCTGGATTTAAAGAAATACCTTTTCTTCCTGGTTTCATTTCACCTTCTGGATCCATCCAATATTCTCTAATATCAATTAGCACTTTCCCTTTAAAATCTCTTTAAAGTGAGGCTGAGTGTGGTGGCTCATGCCTATAATCTCAGCACTTTGGGAGGCTGAGGCAGGAGGATCACTTGAGGTCAGGAGTTTGAGACCAGCCTGGCCAACATGGTAAAACCCCCTCTCTACTAAAAATGTAAAAATTAGCCAGGCATGGTGGTGTGTGCCTGTAATCCCAGCTACTTGGGAAGCTGAGGCAGGAGAATCACTTGAACCTGGGAGGCAGAGGTGGCAATGAGCCAAGATCACACCACTGCACTCCAGCCTAGATGATAGAGCAAGACTCTGTCTCAAAAAAGAAAGTCTGCAACTATCACCTCAAGTTACACTAAAGAGTGGTTGTGTTCTTTCTATAGACTTTCTTTTTTCTCCTTTTTTAGTAGAGACAGGGTCTCTCTATGTTGTCCAGTCTGGTCTTGAACTCCTGGGCTTGAGCAGTCCTCCCACCTCTGCTTTCCAAAGGGCTGGGATTACAGGCCTGAGCTACTGCACCCGGGCCCCCCCATACATATTCTATGTGTATTTCTTCTACCATTTAATCTTCTCTATAATATGACTTTTTCCTATGCAGGTTTTGTCAGTGGTTCCAGTTTATAACAAGTAAGTGACTTGTTAAACATGTCTGTTCACACAGCACCCCAAAACAGTGAACTCACTCACACACTCTTGGGCTCAGCAAGGATGTAAGGCCTCCTGTACCCAGGCTGTGGGGGCACTCCTGTGGGTATAGCAGGGAGCAAAAGAAAGTCTTTGCTCTCATGGGACTAATATGGGGTGGAGTGGAAGCAGGGTGATAAACAACTATAAATCAGGTGAAAAGTCCCTCCCTTCCCCTCCCCTCCCCCCTTTTGCATCCCTTTTTTTCTTTTCTTTTGTGAAAGCAGGCTGGGAGTGGTAACTCACACCTGTAATCCCAGCACTTTGGGATGCTGAGGCAGGCGGATCACTTGAGGTCAGGAGTTTGAAACCAGCCTGGCCAACATGATGAACCCCCATCTCTACTAAAAATACAAAAATTAGCCAGGCGTGACAGTGCATGCCTGTAATCCCAGCTACTTGGGAGGCAGCGGCCAGAGAATCCCTTGAACTTGGGAGGTCGAAAGCCGAGATCATGCCACAGTCTGGGTAGCAGAGCGAGACTCTGTCTCAAAAAAAAAAAAAAAGGGAAAACTAATTAGTCAATATTTCTACTACTCAAACAAATGAGCTATTTGGGTAACAAAGCATACTCAGTGGTCTGCTAGTAAACCAGCTCTTTGTGTGGGAAGGTACAAAAATAATTCTTAGATTTGTAGCATTTGTTGACTTCCATGGTGTGACTGCTCCCACCAAGGCTGATTTGAGGCTTATAGTTGGCTCATACACTTCCTGCATATTTCCTAATTGGCCATCACCAGGCTGTAGGAGACAGCTCCAATGCACCATTGACTGTACCCTTCATAGCAGGGCACAATTTTGCCCTTTTAATAGTCATTTATTAAATGAGGGTTAAAAAACTATATTTGTGTTCTTACAGTTTTTTTAGGCAATTATAGACGTGATGAATATATCTTTTAAAAACTAGTATTATAATAAAATAGTGATTATATTTATTTAAATAAAACGGAGCATTTTCTATGCTTTGAGCAGCCTTTATAATTTCACATGGTGGCATAGTGGCCAGTTGGCTGCATTATAATTGAGTTCAGCATTCTCCAGTTGTTAGATTTTCCTCTATTGAAACTCTGAAATAAACACATTCCTTCTCCTCTCCCCTGCTTACTTTCAGATTGTTTCCCTTGGCTGAATTCCCAGAAGTAGAATTACTGAGTTAACGGCTATGAATGTTTAAATGATTTCTGAAATGGTTTTGTCAAAATAAAATGGTTAGAAATTATAAACAGTTTGCCAAGTAGTATTTTTCTCTGTTGTATACTTGAAAACTCAAGAGAAACTACATTTAAATAACAATCACCTTGGAGCCAAAATTAACAGACTTCTGACTCTCAGGCCCTTTACATTGGTTAATCATTACAATGATTAACCTCAACTGAAGCTGTTCAGTTGTGTGAGGTTAATAGAAATTAGTGTAGCTGTATCTGAAAAGAAAAAAAAGAAAAACAACAAAGAAGTCTGTACAAAGGCAGTTAGCTCTATGCTGCCCCTTTGTGTTGTGCTGCAAAATAACACCCACCGGCAATACAACTTCATCCTCTTCTGTGGCTATCAGCAGAGAAAATATTAAAACAGTGATGGAAAATAGAACTGTCACTAAAGTAAACAAGCAACTAAAGTCATATTTAGGGAGCCTCCATTACCCTTGGATAAGCTCTGCACTTGCTCATAGTGCTGTCTTTAACTGGGTGTATGATTTAGCTGTGGGCCCAGTGCTACTAATTCTGCCTGTTTCTGAACAACCCACTCTGATATTTTGTACATGCATCTCAGCTGGATTCCAAGACAAGTGTGTGTGCATGTGGACACATGTGCTGAAGTTGTTTTGTTGTTTAGACACATGTGCTCGGCTCACTTGCAGCCTCAACCTCCCAAGTTCAAGTGATTCTTGCTATACGAAATGTGGAATCAATGACACTATAGTTTTATCCTTAGATCTGGGCAAGGTGGAGGGGTAGGGTGGGTGTTTTGATCCTGGAGCTTTAGAGGCCCCACTCTGGAATTCCTCTAGTTGAGATACTGTGCCCTCAAACCATGGTATAAGGAATCTGCTAGGCCAAGGGCATTTGCCCACCTGGAGTCTTCCCAAGTACCCAGGACCCTATAGTTCTCAGCCTGAACAGCCCCACCTTCACTTCGAGGGTTTCCGTGGTCCTCCTCCCTGGGTGGTATTCTCCTGATGGTGGTGCACAGCCACTGAAGGAGAGCCCGGGGGGTAGCTGCTTGGTGGGGAATGCAAAGGTGGTGATGTCACATGTATGCATGTAAGGCCCTTGCGGGTAGGACAGAGCCAGGGCGACACGAGGGCCAAGGCTGTGTCTCCCCCACTGCCTTGGGGTAGAGCTCTGAGGAGTCTGACTTTTTTTTTTTTTTTTTTGAGACCGAGTCTCACTCTGTTGCCCAGGCTGGAGTGCAGTGGCGCAATCACAGCTCACTGCAACCTCTGCCTCCCGGGTTCAAGCGATTCTCCTGCCTCAGCCTCCCTAGTGGCATACCACCACGCTGAGACAGGAGAATCGAATCGCTTGAACCCAGGCAGAGGTTGCAGTGAGCCAAGAGCGTGCCATTGCACTCCAGCCTGGCATATTAGAGAAAATGATGTGTACATAAAAATTTCTCTTGTTATTTTCAGCCTCACAGTTTATACAACGGTAATGACTGCTTCTAGCCCAGACAAGTACACCACAAGGATCAGAAACCCGACTTGAAAGTAAGTCAGCAGAAGAGCAAGTTCACCCGTGCTGTGAAAGGTTTGTGTCACTGTTGTTTTGGGGAGAGGGGGCCGGGTGGGTTTGCGCTGGTATTTCTCACAGAGGATGGTAACATCCCTAAAATTATACATATATATTTTCTGACAAGCATCTGGCATATGATTGTGATTTGTGTCAGATTGTCATCATTAGATATTTTATTTGGAATTGTTTATATGAAAACCAATCTTCAACTGGGTGCTGTAATCCAAGCACTTTGGTGACTCATGCCTGTAATCCCATCACTTTGAGGGGTGGATCACTTGAGGTCAGGAGTTCGAGACCAGCCTGGCCAACATGGCAATACCCTCTCTCTACTAAAAATACAAAAAAACTAGCTAGATGTGATGGCAGGCACCCGTAATCCCAGCTACTTAGGAGCTGAGGTAGGAGAATCTCTTGAACCCAGGAGGTGGAGGTTGCAGTGAGCTGAGATTCACTGGACTCCAGCCTGGGCAACAGAGTGAGACTCCATCTCAAAAAAACAAAATCAATGTTTGAATTAAGTGCATTTTTTTTCTTCCTTTACAGATTACTTTTTAAAATGAAATTCTTGAAGAGCTGCACCTTAAAAAAGAAAACAACATGAAAGTATTGTATTATGTTATAAACAATGTAGGCTCCTTCCTCATTTAACTTTCAACCTTGGAAAGTGGGGCTGGAAGATCACTTTGGAGCTTGTGATAAAGCCAGTAATGGGGATTGTCCTGCGTTCCCTTTCCCTCATGGTTTGCTTCGATCCTCTCTAAGCTTCTATCCTGGCTTGAATAACTCAAAGGTAATTGGTCTCTCAAGCCATATCCTCAGGCTTTATTTCCATCTTCTCATGACTCCTGTCAGCATACCTTTGCTTCTCCAGTAGTGAAATGAGTTGGCAAGACCTCTGTTCATTGTGAATTGCTTCTGAAAGAGCCTAGGAAAAAAGGCTTCTCAGAAAGAAATGGACAACTCTATTTTGAACAGTGCCTGTGTGAATGTGCGTTAGCCCGATCTTTGATCATGTATTTCCATGTAATGGGAGTCTCATTTTTTATAATGTTTCTAATGTTTTATTAAAAAAAAAAAAACTTATAGACCTTCTTTCTCAATAGCTACTTTCTTACTGCCTTTTAAAAGTAATGTGAAGCCAAATTATTTCTTAGTGTCACAAAATTAAGTAATAAAATGGCAAAAGAAATGTTTGGCAAGGAGAATAAAAAAAAATTCCAAGAAATTTCGTGTGTGTTTTCCCTGCTTTTTACCTCTGAAATCTTGTGGTTCTGAACGGCTGTGCTGAGAAAGCAGCTCTCTTAGTTGTGATGTTATTTAAGTGTCAGGATTCAAGAGAATGAACAGCTGCTTTGTAGAGTTTGATTTTTCACATGTGTATAAAAGAACTGTCCTTGAGGATGACATCAGAAAAGGTTAGAAGTGTAAATGAAAAGGCGACTGAAGCAGCACTCAATCCATGAGAGGTTTATTTTGCCACAGCTGAGGACGTGCCCAGGAAAAAAGAACCACCAGTCACAGGAGGACCTGTCCTGTGCTTTTCCCAAAGGGGGTTTGGGGAGCGTCAGTATTTAAAGGGGAAAGAGCAAGCAGGATTAGGGGTAGACAGTGAGGCAATTGGTTACATTCTTGTGAGCTCTCATTATTGGTAATCAGTGAGTCTGCATTTAGCACATGAAAAGAAGGGAATGGAGGGAAAGTCAATGATGCATTTGTCTCATGCTCAGTAAATCTACATTTTACAGAAGATGAAGCAACCACTTGAAATTACAGCTCTGTTTGGAAACAAAAGGAAGGCAGTTTGTAAGTGCCTCGATTCCCAAGTTTAACTTTCCCTTTGGCAAAGTGAGTAGAATGTCTAGAAGGAAGTGAAGGAAGTGTTACCAGGTACAGAACATCCCTTCCCTGCCATCCTGCCATACTGCAAACCTCTCTAGTGGCCAGAATATTCATGTTTCTTCTTGGACAGTGTCGGGTAAGTACTGTTTAATTTTCATCATCCAGTGCCCTTTTAAAAATCAAATTTAAGAAGTAGTTTACTCATACCAGCTGCATCACACCTTACACAGCCATTGAAACTAGAAATTTCTACTCATTAGTCCTTTTTTTTTTTTTTTTTTTCACAGATGAAGAGACGGAGGTTCCAAGAGGAACTGACTCAGGGCCCCGTTGCTATCAAGTGGCAGAGCTGGGGTTGGATCCCACATCTGCCTGAATGCAAATCTAGGGGTTCTCGCCAGGGTCTGGCCCACCAAGAAGGCAGCTGGATGAGTAGGGGCACTGGGCAGTCACAAAGAGCCAGGCATCGTCCCTGACTCTGGAAGCCAGGTCCCAGGGCCAGTGCCTTCCCTGTGCAGAAACGAGCTTTTCTTTCTTTTACCCTTGACATTTTTCTTTATGTTGAGATTAGTTTAATTGCAAGTGACAGCGTCACAGCCTGAGCCCATAGCACAGACAAAGGCACAGGGGTGGGAACGGCACAATGAATTTAGGAAACTAGAAATAATTCAGGGAGGGGTTTGCTGTGCAGTGGGCAGGGAGTGGCATAGTGGGCATGAGGCTGGAAAGATGGGCTGGGAGGGTTCTGAGGGCTTCAGGCCTTACTCTACAGGCAGTGGGGAGCCACAGCGGGTTCTTGAGGCAGAGAGAGGCTCACCCCCAGTGGCCTTCAGAAAGGGTCTCTGGTAACTGCTTGCCTGGGACATTGGGGGGTGATTCTGTGCCTTCACAGGCTCCATCACCAGCTCATTCCTCTTCAAGAAGCGTCCCCTCCTAGGCCCATGCCAGGAGTCACTGCCTGCAATCCACCCCAACCTGGCCACATCCTGGAAGCCAGACCCGGACTCACACTTTTCCCCTGGGTTTCTAGGCTTTTTATCCTCACGTAGCTTTTGCCCCAACCCTACTCATGTAACGTTGATGATACAGCAAAGCACAGGTACAGAAACTCAGGCCAGGGCATGAAGGCATTTGCTCTCATTACGGAAAACAAACAAGACCCCAGAAAGCCAGGGAGCTCATGCCAGCTGCAATTCCAAGATTCCCCAGAGGAACGATCTATGAATAATCACATGCCTTTGCACTTTTTTTTTTTTAAGAAAAAGAATAAAGAAGAGGAAGAAAGAGAAAGAGGAAGAGGGAGAGAGGATGGGGGTACTGCTCCATTGCCCGGGCTAGAATGCAATCCAAATATGGGTATGCCACTGATGAAGGCACAAAAGAAAATGAGGGAAGAGAACAACAAACAAGGAGCCAACCAAAATTTCATCCAAACTTCCAAGTTGATATGATGTGGCACTGACAAGAGTATACATCCTGTATATTTAAAGTGGAGAGTTCTATAAATGCCAATTACATTGACTTGTTCCAGATCTGAGTTCAAGTCCTGGATATCGTTGTTAATTTTCTGTCTCACTGATTTGTCTAATATTAATGTTGAAGTCTCCCACTATTATTATGTGGGAGTCTAAGTCTCTTTATAAGTCTTGTATGTCTGGGTATTCCTGTATTGGGTGCGTATATATTTAGGATTTTTAGCTCTTCTTGTTGCGTTGATCCTTTTATCATTGTATAATGTCCTTCTTTGCTTCTTTTAATCTTTGTTGCTTAATTGTAACTTCTGCTTTTTATTTATTTATTTTAGCTCTCTGTTTGGTTGGTAAATCCTTCTCCATCCCTTGTTTTAAGTCTTTGTGTATCCTTGAATGTGAGATGGGTCTGGATGCAGCATACTGATGGGTTTTAGTTATTTATTCAAATTGCCTGTCTGTCTTTGGATTGGGGGATTTAGTCAACTTAAATTTAGAATGAATAATAATATATGTGAGTTTAATACTGCCATTTAATATTAGCTGGCTATTTTGCCCATTAGTTGATGTAAATTCTTCGTTATATTGATGCTCTTTTTGATAATATTTTTAGAAAGGCTGATACTGTTTGTTCCTTTCTATGTGTAGTGGTTCTTTCAGAAGCTCTTGTAAAGCAGGCCTGGTGGTGATGAAATCTCTGAGTGCTTGCTTATTCACAAAAAACTTTATTTTTCCTTCACTTGTGAAGCTTAGTTTGGCAGGATGTGAAATTCTGGGTTGAAAGTTCTTTTCTTTAAGGATATTGAATATTGGTCCCCACTCTCTTCTGACTTGTAGGGTTTCTGCTGAGAGATCTGCTGTAAGTCTGATAGGCTTCCCTTTGTGGGTAACCTGACCTTTCTCTCTGGCTGCCCTTAGTATTTTCTCCTTCATTTCAACCCTGGTGAATCTGACAATTATGTGCCTTGGAGTTGCTCTTCTTGAGGAATATCTCTGTGGTGTTCTCTGTATTACCTGGAGTTGAATATTATCCTGCCTTACTAGGTTGGGAAAATTTTCCTGAATAATGTCCTGAAGCATATTTTCCAGCTTGGATTCATTCTCTTCGTCACATTCAGGTACACCTATCAAGTGTAGATTAGGTCTTTTCACATAGTCCCATATTTCTTGGAGACTTTGCTCGTTCCTTTTTATCCTTTTTTCTCTAATCTTGTCTTCTTGTTTTATTTCACTGAGTTGGTCTTCGACCTCTGATATCCTTTCTTCTGCTTGATCAATTCAGCTGTTAAAACTTGTGCATACTTCACGAAGTTCTCCTATTGTGTTTTTCAGCTCCATCAATTCACTTATTTTCCTCTCTAAATTGTGTGTTCTTGTTAACATTTCGTCAAATCTTTTTTCAAAGTTCTTAGTTACTTTAGATTGGTTTAGAACAAGTTCTTTTAATTCACAGAAGTTTCTCATTATCCACATTTTGAAGCCTGCTTCCGTAATTGGAACACACTCGTTCTCCATCAGGCCTTGTTCCGTTGCTGATGAGGAACTGGGATCCCCCGCTGAAGGAGAGGCGTTCTGATCTTGGGTATTCTCAGCCTTTTTTGGCTGTTTTCTTCCCTTCGTTATAAATTTATCCATCTGTGGTCTTTGTATTTACCGTCTTTGTAATTGGGTTTCTGAGTGGACGTCCAACTTACTGATTCTCAGCGCCGAAATCTGAGCAACCCACTGCGCCGACTAAATCAGCGGCGTTAAGATTGATGGTGCTTTTCTGACTCTGCACCAAGAGCCGACGCTCCGAGGTGCCGGCAAAACCGCCTCGCCGGTCACAAGAGTCCCGCTGGCGACCCGTGGGGCTCCTCCGCTGGGAATCTCCTGGTTCGTGAGCAACAAGAATTCATGTGAAGGTGTGGCGTCCTCTCGTTCTTTGCGCTTTTACTGGGAGCTACAATCCCGAGCTGCTAGTGATCAGCCATCTTGGATCTCTCCCGAGTCCTTTTTTTAAAGACAGGATCTTGCTCTATCATCCAAGCTGGAGTGCAGTGGTGCAATCCCGGCTCACTGCAACCTTTGCCTGTTGCGTTTAAGCGATTCTCGTGCCTCAGCCTCCCAAGTAGCTGGGACTACAGGCGTGCACCAACCCACCTAGATAATTTTTGTATTTTTAGTAGAGATGGGGTTCACCACGTTGGCCAGGCTAAATTTCTACTTATTAGTCTTATTCCATTCTTGTTTTCTTGAAAATATGCCATGATCTCTGAATGGAAATTTGGAGAATATCCTAATTTTAACCAGGCGAAGCCAAGGCATTGAGGGCTGTTCACTAGGAAAATGATTGAAGTAATCCAACACTCTGGTTGCTTTTCAGATATTTGTCCTTTTTTGTTGAAACCACCTTTGCGAAGATGGTGACAGTGAGAGGCATCTAGCATGGCTGACTCCATCTTGCTTCTAGCGTCACCGGCTAGCTGTCCTTGCTCATTCCTGGGCACAGACTAAGCTAACTGTGAGAGGAATTTAGTTTATAGTTTAAAGCAAGGATGATAATAACCACTCTCTAAGACCAATCTCTGCCCTGCTAGGGAGCAAAGCCACCTTTGTAAAACTAATGGAAGTCTATGAGATTAGGGTTATGGGAGGAACTCAAATTCTGCTAAATGTAGGCGTAGTTTCTACAATCCCTTACTGTTCAGGAGTCATGTGGCTAGAGGTCATAGATTTGTGACTTCCCCAATTGTTCCTATACAGAACATCGCTACTGTAGAAGCTGAGATTGGTCTTTTGGGATGTTCTTCCAGACTTTTGCATTCTGACAACCAATTGAGCCCACCAGGACCTGTGACTCATGAGTCAACTAGTCCTGTGGCCCTCACCCAAAGGCCATACTCAGTGCATAAAGACCATTTTCCATAACCCTATAATT